TTATGGGTGTGAGCCACCTTGCCCTGCCTTACTCTGTTTCTTTCTTTAGAGACTTAGTTCTAGTTTGGTGGTAACTTCAGGGTAGACTTGGTTGTGAGCACTTTAGGGAGAGGGTAACTGGCAAGTATTGCCTGTCGTGGCCCTTTTATGAACTGAGGAGCAAATGTCATGACTCTTTCCAAGCCATATTAATAAGATCTACTACTTTTTTTTTTTGAGTTGAAGTCTCACTCTGTTGCCCAGGCTGGAGTGCAGTGGCACGCTGATAGCCACTGCAGCCTCGACCTACTGGGGTCAGATGATCCTTCGCCTCAGCCTTCCAAGTAGCTGGAACTACAGGCACGTGCTACCATGCCTGGCTAAGTTTTTTTGATTTATTGTAGAGATGAGGTCTCACCAAGTTGCCCAGGGTGGTCTTGAACCCATGGGCTCAGGTAATCCTCTCACCTCAGCTTCCCAAAGTGCTGGGATTATAGGCATGAGCCACCGCGCTTGGCTGATCTCTAATTTCTAACTCAAGTATCTTAGTTATCTAATAATGACTTGCTGGTTTGCTTTCAGTCTGTTAAAATTTTGAACTCTGTTAAACTGCCACAGTAAGATGAGGAAAAAAGTGGGAACTGGTTCACCTGAAACCCAACTCCCACCCCTACCTAATATGTCCTTATAACAGACATGCACATGTATGCCTTGAATATAGAATAAAAATGGGAAAAAAAGATGAGCAAAAAAATACATTTACTTTTTTATATAGACTTCTTCCCACTCTGCTTGCAACCCCATAGTAGCCTTAATTAGGATATTGGACTTTTTTTTTGAGTCAGAGTCTCACTCTGTCATCCAGGCTGGAGTGCAGTGGCATGCATGCTCACGGCCACCACAGCCTCAACCTGCTGGATTCAGGTGATCCTTCCGCTTCAGCCTTCCAAGTAGCTGGTACTACAGATGTGCGCCACCATGCCCAGCTTATTTTTTTGATTTATTGTAGAGACGAGGTCTTGCCATGTTGCCTAGGCTGGTATTGAACCTGTGGGCTCATGCAGTCCTTTTGCATCCACCTCCCAAAGTGCTGGGATTACAGACCTGAGCCAGCATGCCCAGCAGCATGTTGTACTTTAAATTGGTGTACTTATAGATTTTTATTAAGAATTAAGGCTTGGTTAATTTACACCTAGACTGTATTAGATGTATGATCTGTCTTATAAACTCAGAAGCTTGGTGTCATAGTTGTGGCACATTAGTCAGCCTCTGCCTCTTCAGTGGCATGAGGGCCTCCTGCTTTGCACTTGCCATTCTGTGTCTAAGCTTCAAATGGCATGTCATATTGTGCCTGGTGTTTGAGACAATGTCCAGTCTACCTGTGATTAAAGCCCCATTTAAATACAGGGCTGTGTCCATCTCTATTAAACTTGAGCCTTCAGGTCAGGTGCAATGACTCACGTCTGTAATCTCAGCACTTTGGGAGGCAGAGGTGAGAGAAGTGCTTGAGTCCAGGGGTTTGAGACCAGCCTGGACAATTTGGTGAGACCTCATTTCTACAATAAATCAAAAAATTAGCCGGGCATGGTGGTACATGCCTGTAGTCCCAGCTACTTAGAAGGCTGGTGTAGAAGGATCGCCTGCGCCCAGCAGGTCAAGGCTGCAATGGCCATGAGTGTGCCACTGCACTCCAGCCTGGGGGACAGAGTGAGACTCCTACTCAAAAAAATAAATAAATAAACTTAAGCCTTCTAAATTCAGTGAAACTTTTAGAAAATTGTTTGATAATTGATTTATACTTAGTTCGACATTGAAAAGACAGTGTAGATCTATTTCACAGTATAGATCTAAGTTAAGTTAGAGAGTGGGATGAAAATGTTCGTTAGCTTTTGACTCCTCTTAAATAGTGGGCTTAAGTATTATATAGATTTAATTCATTTATCAGGGTTGTATTGAATGGGATATTCCTTGAAATAAATGAGCTAGCTATTGGCTAGAGTATGGGATGCTTTTACACTTGGCAAGGTAAGAATATGAAGTTAACTGTATTTTTTTGTTTTTTGGTTTTTTTTTGAGTTGGAGTCTCACTCAGTCACCCAGACTAGAGTACTGTGGCCGCTCCCGGCCACCGGAGCCTCGACCTGCTGGGCTCCGGAGATCCTTCCGCCTCAGCCTTCCAAGTAGCTGGAACTACAGGCGCGTGCTACCACGCCCGGCTAGTTTTTGATTTATTGTAGAGATGAGGTCTCGCCAAGTTGCCTAGGCGGGTTTCGAACCCGTGGGCTCAGGCAGTTCACTCACCTCAGTCTCCCAAGGCATGGGATTACAGGCTGAGCCACTGAGCCCGGCTAAGTTATCTGTTTTTTATTTAAAATGATTTTTTTTAATTGAGTTGGAGTCTCACTCTGTTGCTAGGCTGGAGTACAGTGACACACTGATGGCCACCACAGCCTCGATGTGCTGGGTTCAGGAGATCCTTCTGCCTCAGCCTTCCCAGTAGCTGAAACTACAGGCACACGCTACCATGCCCGGCTTATTTTTTGCTTTATCGTAGAGATGAGGTCTCACCAAGTTGCCTAGGCTGGTCTCGAACCCCTGAGCTTAGGAATCCTCTCACCTTGGCCTCCCAAAGTGCTGGAATTACAGCTTAAGCCACTGCACCCGGCATTCAGTTTTTTATTTAAAACAACTGTGGCCGGGTGTGGTGGCTCATGCTTGTAATCCCAGTACTTTGGGAGGCTGAGGCAAGAGGATTGCCTCAGCCCAGGGTTTGAGATCAACCTGGGCAATTTGGTGAGATTTTTGTCTCTACAATAAATCAAAATTAGCCAGGCATGGTGGCACGTACCTGTTCCAGCTACTTGGAAGGCTGAGACAGAAGGATTGCCTGATCCCAGAAGATTGAGGCTGCGGTAGTCCTGAACGTGCCACTGCTCTCAGCGTGGGCAACAGAGTGAGACTCTGACTCAAAAAATGAAATAAGAAATAAATAAATAACTGTGAATCACTTTAAAAGAGGCTACTAATATTGGTTTGGCTATCTTGGATTTTAATTGCTAATGGAGAAGCATTTTTATGGAGTTGGATAAGTTAGTATGAAGGCTTATATGGAAAAACAAGCATGCGAAAAAGGCCAGGAAAACACTAAAAAGCTTGAAAACTAAGGGGGGGACTAGCCATGGCAGACATTAAAATGTACCATGAAGCCTCTATAATTAATACAGTAAGGTACTGGTGTATGAAGTGACAACAGACGAGTGGGATAGGATAGAAAACCCAGAAGTAACTGGGCATGGTAGCTTACGCCTATAATCCCGGCACTTTGGGAGCCCGCGGGTTCAAGACCAGCCTAGGCAACTAGGCGAGACCTCATCTCTACAATAAATCAAAAAATTAGTCAGGCATAGTGGCGTATGGCTGTAGTTCCAGCTACTTGGAAGGCTGAGGTGGAAGGATTGCCTGAGCCTAGTAGATGAAGGCTGAGGTGGCCGGAAGCATGCCACTGCCCTCCAATCTGGGTGACAGAATAAGACTCCAACTCAAAAAAAAAAAAGAAAGCACAGAAGTAAACCAAATATGTATGAAGATTTAGTATATGGTAAATCACAAGGTATTTTGTTGTGTGCTGCTACAACAGAATATAAGATGGGATATTTTATAAACAACAGATTTATTTATCATGAATATAGAAACTGAGAAGTCCAATATCAAGGTGCTGGCATCTGGTGAGAGCCTTCTTGCTGCATCATCCTGTGGCAGGAGGGCAAAAGAGCACATGGGGTGGGAGGCAGTGTCAGAACTCATCCCTTTACCAGGAACCTGCTGCTGAATTAATGGTATTAATCCATTCATGAGGGCAGAGCCCTCATGACCTAATCACCTGTAAAAAGTTCTACCTCGGCCGCGTTTGGTAGCTCAGCCTGTAATCTCAGCACTTTGGGAGGCCAAGGTGAGTGGATTGCCTGACCCTGCGGTTTTGAGACCCGCCCGGGCAACTTGGTGAGACCTCATATAAATAAAAATTAGCCTCATATAAATAAAAAATTAGTATGCACCTGTAGTTCCGGCTACTTTCAAGGTTGAGGCAGAAGGATCGCCGGAGCCCAGCAGGCTGAGGCTGCGGTGGCCGGGAACGGCCACTGCACTCCAGTCTGGGCGACAGAGTGAGACTCTAACTCAAAAAAAAAGTTCCACCTCTTAACACTGTTGGATTGGGTATTAAGTTTTCATTACCTGAACTTTGGAGGACAAATTCAAACTGTAGCACAGGATAAAGATGAATTTTTTAAATAAATTATGCTGTGACAGCTGGCTAGCCATTTAGAAAAAAATAAAATTAGATCCATGCCTCACACCATATACAAGCAAAAGCTCCAAATGGATTAGGGATCGAAATGAAAACGAAACCCTACACATGCTAGAAGAAAATGTGAGTGAGTTCTTTGATGTAAGAAAAACCTTTTGTACTTAATCCAGAGGCAATGAAATAAAGTTTGGTAATTTTTTTTTGTCAGCGTCTCATTCTGTGCCCAGGCTGGAGTGCAGTGGCACGCTCATGGGCACTGCAAGCTGTACCTCCTGGGCTCAGGGGATCCTTCTGCCTCAGCCTTCCAAGTAGCTGGAACTACAGGTGTGCGCCACCACGCCCAGCTAATTTTTTGATTTATGATAGAGAACGAGGTCTTGCCAAAAAAACTCTTATTTACAATAGCAACATAGAAGGTGAAAATCTTAGGAATAAACCTAAAGAGAAATGCATGAGGCCTCTAAGAGGGAAACCACTTTAAAATACTTCTGAAAGATACAAAAGTAGAATTGAACAAATGGAAAGATGCCTCTTGTTCTTGAGTAGTACAAGTCAGCATTATGAAATTATGTTAGTTCTCCCTATATCAATTTATACATTTAATACAGTGCCAAAAAAATGCAGCAGACTTATTTTTTTGAAGTTAGTCAAGTTGATAATAAAGATCACATGGAAAAGCAAACATGCAAGAATTAATGGAGGTCCTTTTCTTTAGGATAACTGGGATGACGATGATGACGAAAAAAAAGAGGAAGCAGAAGTAAAACCAGGTGAGCCACTGGGGCTCCTCCGTTTTTGGTTTTATGTCTTGCTGAGCATTTGGTACTTGTGTTAAGACAAAATGCTCAAAAAATTGAAAATTTTTGTATCTAGAAACCAAGCATCCTTCCATCTTCACTTTGTTCTCTTCTCCCTGCATTTCTTCTCTATCCCCGCAAAACAAACTCAGATTAGATGCCTGCTGTCTTTCTGTTTAAGTGTTGGGTATTGTTAGGAGAGAGTAGAGGGTGTGGCATTATAATTGAATGACCTAAGTTATGCCTGAAGAATGATGGGGAAATATGAAGGGAGATGTTTGAATGATAAGGTTCAGAGAGAAGGAAGTATGCCAGAACTTTTCCCATTCTTAATTGTGAGGGAAATCACTGCTTGAAACTGAAGCTGGGAAAGGTCTGGTACCCTCAAGTATAAAAATATCATGTCTTTTGCATCCATACACTGAGAAAAAGTCGATATAACTGAATAAACTTTTCTTTACTTTCAGAAGTAAAAGTTTCAGAAAAGAAAAAAATAGTCGAGAAAATAAAAGAGAAAGAACGGCAACAGAAGAAAAGGCAAGAAGAAATTAAAAAGAGAGTAAGTACTACTTACTTTCCAAAATACAGAATCCTCACATCAGTAGTAGTGCAGTTTCTAACAGGGTGCAGATATTACCTAGTAACTTGAAGGACTATGTAAAGACTATAGATGGATATGGTAAGGTAGGTGAAATCCAAAACAAATTTATTTATAGTTTTTACAAAAGTAGAATTCAGAAGCTTTATGTATTAGAGCGTTATTTTTATTTTTTTTTTTCTTTTTTGAGTCAGAGTCTCACTCTGTTGCCCAGACTGGAGTGCAGCTGCACACTGCTCATGGCCACTGTAGCCCTGCAGCCTCAATCTGCTGGGCTCAGGTGATCCTTCCACCTCAGCTTTCCAAGTAGCTGGAACCACAGGCACACACCACCACGCCCAGCTAATTTTTTTATTTATTGTAGACACGAGGTCTTGCCATGTTGCCCAGGCTGGTCTCTGGCAATCCTTGCTCCTCGGCCTCCCAAAGTACTGCTGGGATTATAGGCATGAGCCACAGCGCCCAGCCTAGAATGTCTTAAGTTTTCACAAGCATTCAGGAACAGTCATGATTACGCAGTGCCTATAGTCGATGATTTTTTTGCCAGTGCCTGCCGTTTTTTTCTATTCGTGATTAATCTTTATTTGTGTGCATATTGAGTGAAATACCAAAGGTGTTCATTTCTGTGCCATATACTATATAAATGTTTTTGTTCCTAATTATTTGGCACAGGATCAGAAATATTGTGTTAATGTATTTGTTGAATAGAAAGCACATTTACGTGGTTCAAAAATTAAAACAATATTTAAAATACTGCCAACCCTTTACTCACTTATCCTGTTTCTCTCCTGCCATTGCCATCATATAAGTAAATATTGGTTTCTTATGTCTCTAGGGTGCCTTTGTATTTGGATATATCTGTATATTCTTAACTCTCTCCTTTCTTATACACGGTTTTCACCATGCTTTTTATTTAATATGTAGCAGAGATCTTTCCATATCAGATCATAGAAAGCTTTCTTATTAAGAAAATTTTCAAACATAAAAGAAAATTGCATAATGAATAACATATACCTAAATTTAAGTTGTCAATGTTTTGGCATATTTGCTTCATCTATTCTTGTTTTGCTAAAATATAATCATGTAAACTTTTTTTTTTTTTGAGTTGGAGTCTCACTCTGTTGCCCAGACTGGAGTGCAGTGTCACGCTCCCGGCCATCGCAGCCTCGACCTGCTGGGCTCCGGCAATTCTTCTGCCTCAGCCTTCCAAGTAGCTGGAACTACAGGCGCGCGCTACCACGCCCGGCTAGTTTTTTATTTATTTATTATAGAGATGAGGTCACCCAGGCGGGTCTCGAACCCGCGGGCTCAGGCAATCCACTCACCTCAGCCTCCCAAAGCGCGGGATTACAGACTGAGCCACCGAGCCCAGCCTAATCATGTAAATTAAAACCCTGCATTTTACCTTTAAATACTTTAGTATATATCTGAAAAAGTAAGGACGTTTCTCACATAATACAATGGTATTATCACACCTAATAAATGAAAGTTTTAACAATCTAATATTCTATATGCCCCTTTTTTCTGTTTGTCCCAAAATGTCTTTTTTTGTGTGATTTGTTCAGATAAAGGCCATGTATTGCATTTGGTTGTTAGTATATCCTAAGTTTTTTTAGAGTGAGTTCTCTCTTCTCTCTCTTTTTCAAGTGACTGACTTGTTGAAGAGACCGGGTTAGCTGTGTTGTAAGACATCCTACCTTCTAGATTTATCTAGTCTGATTGCTTCCTTATAGTTGCAATTTCCTATAACTTGGAAATTAATTCTAAAACTTTAATTAGATTCAGGGTAAACATTTTTGGCTTTTTGATGTTTGGAAATCAAAACAATATAAAAATGTTGTGCCAGAAAAGTCTCAGATTGCCAAGAGAGCAGATCATAAATATTCTCACCACAAAAAAGTATATGAGGTGATGGATATGTTAATAAGCTTGATTTAGTTATTTTGCAATGTATACATGTTTTACACTGTGAATATCTATAGTTTTTATTTAACTATACCTTAGTAAAGCTGGGGGTGGAGAAGAAAAGTCTCAAACATCCATTCCTATCCTCTACCCTGTTCCCTGTAGGAAACCATTTTCATAGTGTCTGGTTTAGTTATCCTTGTTTGTTTTGATAGCTATATGCTATTATATTCCATTGCCTAGATGTACCATAGTTTGTTATCAGTTCCCTGCTGATGGACAGTTGGATTTTTTTTCAGTTCTTTCCTTGATAAATAATACTTAAGTGAATAACCTTATATGTGTGTCATTTCTAATGGATATATGCATATTCGCAGGATAAATTCTCAAACATGAGATTGCTGGGTAAATCACATTTGCAGTCTTGATAAATTTTTCTTGACTGCTTTCCATGTGAGGTTGTACTCATTTGCATTTGTCACTAATGTATGAGAGGGCCTGTGTCCCCCCCAAGTCAGGAACATGTTAGGCGCTTTATTTTATTTTTATTTTTTTTTGAGTTGGAGTCTCATTCTTTTGCCCAGACTGAAGTGCAATGGCATGCTCACGGCCACCGCAACCTCAACCTGCACAGAGATGGGAGCTCACCAAGTTGCCCAGGCTGGACTCAAACCCGTGAGCTCAGGCAATCCTGTCATCTTGCCTCCCAAAGTGCTGGGATTATAGGCATGATCCACCGTGCCCGGCCTTAGATGCTTTTTAATAATTTGTATGTTTGTATATCTAAAGATATATATGTGGCTGGACGCAGTGGCTTGTGCCTGTAACCTCAGCACTTTGGGAGGCTAAGGCAGGAGGATTGCTTGAGCCCAGGAGTTCAAGATCAGTCTGGACAACACAGCAAGACCTTGTCTTTTTTTTTTTTTTTTTTTTTTTGAGTAGGAGTGTCGCGCTGTCACCCAGGCTGGAGGGCAGTGACACGCTTCTGGCCACTGCAGCCTCGACCTGCTGGGCTCAGGCAATCCTTCCATCTCAGCCTTCCAAGTAGCTAGAACCACAGGTACATGCCACCACACCCGGCTAATTTTTTTTTAATGTTTATTACAGAGATGAGGTCTCACCAAGTTGCCCAGGCTGGTCTCCAACCCATGTGGTGGTGCATACCTGTGGTTCCAGCTACTTGGAAGACTGAAGCAGAAGGATCGCTGGAGTCCAGCGGGTCAAGGCTATCATTGCCATGAGCATGCTGCTGCACTCCAGCCTGGGCAACAGTGAGGCTTTGTTTTAGTTTTTGTCTTTTTTTGAGTCAGAGTTTCACTCTGTTACCCAGACTGGAGTGCAATGGCATGCTCATGGCCCCTGCAGCCTTGACCTACTGGGCTCAGGTGATCCTTCCAACTCAGCCTTCCATGTAGCTGGAATCACAGGCGTCCACCCTCATGCCCAGCTAGTTTTTTTTATTTATTGTAGAGATGAGTTCTAGCCAAGTTACCCAGGCTGGTCTCTGGTCTCGAACCCCTGGGCTCAGGCAATCCTTTCGCCTCCGCTTCCCAAAGTGCTGGGATTACAGGTGTGAGCCACCATGCCCGGCTAACAGTGAGACTTTGATTCAAATAAAAAGGAAGGAAGAAATCATACAATACAGAAATATACTGGGTTCGTCATAACCCCAGCCCTTTTTACAAACTTTTCTGTCTCATTTTAGTTAGAAGAACCTGAAGAACCTAAACTGTTAACACCAGAAGAACAATTAGCAGATAAACTGCGACTAAAGAAATTACAGGAAGAGTCAGACCTCGAATTAGCAAAGGAAACTTTTGGTAAGATGGGAGTACAATTGCAGTGTAATATTGAACTGTTTCTGGTGAAGACTCCAAAAGTCTTACTAAATGATGAAAGTTCAGAAAACATATATTTTTTAAAGGGAACATGATAACTGGCTAATTTTGATAGTAGAAAGCAGTTTTTAATCTCTGTGCATATCTGAGATTCATTACTTGAAAAGATAGAGTGAGATTGGAAAAACTGTTTTGAGTATCAAATCAAAGATTATTAAAAGTCATTGCACCCAAATAAAGTACACTGGTGCCTAGAATATATTTATCAGCTAGATGAAATTTGCATGAAATGGGAGGTCTGAGGCTTTGAAATTGACTGTAGGGCAGCTCTGTTGTTTTAAGTCTAGATAAGACAGTGATCCATGTGAGGCATTCAGCTTTGGCTGTGCCTTCTTGTTCTCAGGGTTGTTTCGTTCTGCGATCCTTCTTGGCCTTTACCTTTAGAGAGCTTCCATTTCTGTGTGCCATACCTGCAGCTGTGGTTAGTGCATGAGATAAAAACTCAAGATCCTATAAAGAGATACATTCAGAATGTTCAAGTGTCAGAGTTACATGATATAAAGGGTAGAGTAAGAGACATGGGCAGAGAAATAGTTAAAGCCCTCACTTCATTTAAACAAGTTGTTGTCTTTACCTATTAAATAGTTTTCAAGACTGGGTTCAATGGCTCACACCTATAATCCCAATACTTTGGGAGGTGGAGACCAAGAGGATTGCCTGAGCCCAGGGACTCAAAACCAACCTGGGCAACTTGGCAAGACCTCATCTCCACAATAAATAAAATTAGCCAGGCATGATGGCGCATACCTGTGGTCCCAACTACTTGGAAAGCTAATGCAGAAGGATCACCTGAGCCCAGGAGGTCGAGGTTGTGACTGTGAACATTCCACTGTATTCTAGCCTGTGCACAAAAGTGAGATTCCCAATTTTTAAAAAAATGCTTTTCAGAGTGGAAGATCATGTTGAAACAGTTAAATAACTTTGAAATCCAAGAAGGAATCTAGTTATTTTGACAGCACTCCACCCTCCTGCCTCCTCTTTTTAAAAATAGATGAAGCAGGCTGACTGAAGTGATCATTTCCCTTTCTTTTCTTTTTTTGAGTTGGAGTCTCACTCTGTCACCCAGGCTGGAGTTGCAGTGGCACACTCACAGATACCGCACCCTTGACCTGCTGGGCTCAGGCGATCCTTTCACCTCAGCCTTCCACATAGCTGGAACCACAGGCATGCACCACCTCACCCAGCTAATTTTTTTATTTATTGTTGAGACAAGGTCTTACCATGTTGCTTAGGCTGGTCTCCAACCCCTGGGCTCAGGCAGTCCTCTCACGTTGGCCTCCCAAAGTGCTGGGATTACAAGTGTGAGCCCCCTCATCCAGCCCATTGCCCTTTCTGTGAGGAAATACAACCTCCTCTGTCGGTGGGTTTCTACAAACCTCGAGTTGCTGTGGACGCTCCTTTGCCCCAGTATATGCTTGGCAGGTGTTAACCATTCATCTAATTATAGAGGGCACTTGGCCATTATTATATGTATTCGTAGGATGGTTGAAGCTGCTCATGTGTTTATTAAAGAGGCAGGTTTATAAAGTCTGCATAAATCCTAGTATGGAACTAAAAGGTAGAAACATGCATTCATAAAGTCATTGTTTGGTTAATGGGATTTTACTGTTGTGTTTCTCATACTAAAATACTGAATCTGTGATTTTGTCAACTAAATTTACTTGACCTAGCAAAGGATACAGATATGGACACTTGTCTGTTACTCTAGAAACTCTTCTAGACCAGATTTCCTCTATTGGGATTTAACACATGATTTACTCCTGCTTAGCTTCTGGAGTTAGGTGAATACTTTCACAGGATCTATCTTTGTTTTTTATTATTTTTTTCCCTCTCTCCCTACATTACTGTGGGCTATTGGACAGACCCTTAAAGAGTATTCATTTTGGCCGGGCTCGGTGGCTCAGCCTGCAATCCTGTGCCTTGGGAGGCTGAGGTGAGTGGATTGCCTGAGCCCGCGGGTTCGGACCCGCCTGGGCAACTTGGTGAGACCTCATCTCTACAATAAAAAAAAAAAAAAATTAGCTGGGTGTGGTGGCGTGCGCATGTAGTTCCAGCTACTTGGAAGGCTGAGGCAGAAGGATCGCCAGAGCCCAGCAGGCCGAGGCTGCGGTGGTCGGGAATGGCTACTGTACTCCAGTCTGGGCGACAGAGTGAAACTCCGACTCTAAAAAAGAAAAAACAAATAAATAAATAAATAAATAAGAGTATCAATTTTGTTCCGTAGACTCCTTTTGTTTTAGTACAGGGTCTCGCTCTGTCACCCAATACAGAGTACAGTTGTGTGATCATTGGTCACTGCTGACTTGAACTCCTGGGCTCAGTGATTCTCTTGCCTGAGCTTCTCAAGTAGCTGGGATTACAGGCATATGCCACCACACTGGCCAATTTTTGTTAAAAAAATTTGTGGGCTGGGTGTGGTAGTTCACACCTGAAATTCCAGCACTTTGAGAGACCGAGGGGTAGGATTTGCTTGAGGCTAGGAGTTTAAGACTAGCCTGGGCAATATAGTGAGACCCCCCATCTCTACAAAAAATTAAAAAATTAGCTGGGCATGGTGGCATGCACCTGTTAATTCTACCTACTTGGGAGGCTGAGGTAAGATTGCTTGAGCGCAGGAGGTCGAGACTGCAGTAAGCCATGATAGTGCCACTGTACTTCAGCCTGAGCAACAAAGCAAGGCCCTGTCTTAAGAAAAAATATTTTCTGGAGATAAAAGGTTTTGTTCTGGTGCACAGGCTGGTCTCGAACTCCTGGCCTCAAGCTATCCTACTGCCTTGCCCCCCAAAGTGCTGGAATTATAGGCACAAACCATGGTGTCCAGCCTTAATATGTTTTATTTTTTGAGTCAGAGTCTCAGTCTGTTGCTTAGGCTGGAATGCAGTGGCACACTCACAGCCACTGCAGCCTCGACCTGTTGGGCTCACGTGATCCTTCTGCCTCAGCTTTCCAAGTAGCTAGAACTACAGGCACGTGTCACCACACCTGGCTAATTTTTTGATTTATTGTAAAGACAAGGTCTCGCCAAGTTGCCCAGGCTAGTCTCAAACCCCTGGGCTCAGGCAATCCTCTCGCTTTAGCCTCCCAAGTGCTGGAATTACAGATGTGAGCCACCATGCCTGGCTAGTATTTTTTTTTTTTTTGGAGTCTCACTTTGTTGCCTAGGCTGAAATGCAGTGGCACGCTCATGGCCACCCCAGCATCGACCTGCTGGACTCCAGCAATCTTTCCGCCTCAGCTTTCCAAGTAGCCAGAACTATAGGTGCACCTATCACACCCGGCTAATTTTTTGATTTATTGTAGAGACAAGGTTTCATCATGTTGCCCAGGCTGGTCTCAATCCCGCAGGTTCAGAGAGTCCTCTTCCTTTGACCCCTAAAGTGCTGGGATTACAGGCTTGAGCCACCATGTCCAGCCAATGTTTTTATGTATTTATTTATTTTTATTTATTTTTTTGAGTTGGAGTCTCACTCTGTCACCGAACTGGACCTGCTCGGCTCCGGCGATCCTTCCACCGCAGCCTTCCAAGTAGCTGGAACTACAGGCACGCACTACCATGCCCAGCTAATTTTTTTAATTTATTGTAGAGATGAGGCCTCGCCAAGTTGCCCAGGCGGGTCTTGAACCCATGGGCTCAGGCAATCCACTCACCTCAGCCTCCCAAAGCACAGGATTACAGGCTGAGCCACTGAGCCCGGCTCAATGTTTTTAAATGAATAAAATATTTGAGATTTTATTTACAAAGGAAACCTGTTATATTGAAATAGATATCAAAATTCTAAGTAACAAATTTGATACAGAATTATGTGCTTATTAATGAATTAATAAATAAGATCTAATAGGAAGTCCAATGAGTAATGTAGTTTGAAAGTAATGATGACTGAATAGTATTGTAAGATTTCTGATTAAACAGTATTATAAGGTATTTGCAGTATCTGTATTGTCATGAAAAGTATCTGTGATCTCTGTTGGTAAGTCAAGTTATGATAACACGACTGTGATTTGTTGCCTGTATTCAAAACTAAAGGAAATGGAAATACTACATTAGAGGTTAGAAAAAATGATACAATTTTTTTTTTATTTGCATTCATAGAGCCCCTGAATTCTGTGCTTCCAGGGCTCCAATGGCCCCAGGTTAAGAGCCCCTGGTTGAGAATGAAATAGCAAAGTAATTCAGATAGCTAATTGGTTTATCCACTTAAAAGGATAAAAAAAGGTCTTGATATTTTTCAGTGCTTCTTTTCTCCTACAGGTGTTAATAATACAATTTGTGGAATAGATGCTATGAACCCATCTTCAAGAGATGACTTCACAGAGTTTGGAAAGTTACTAAAAGATAAAATTACACAATATGAAAAGTCGTTATATTATGCTGGTTTTTTGGAAGTCTTAGTTCGAGATGTGTGTATTTCATGTAAGTAATTTTAACCCTTAGCCTCTATGGGTAGATTTTTAGTAGGGACATTATACTCAGAAATGGAAGTTGTTTTTTATTTTCAGTTTTTGCATGCTATCATGTAGATTCAGGATTTGCTATTTAGTAACTACCTTGTGAATGTTCTGCAAATACACAGTGATTAAGTGTTGGGTTTTTTGTTTGTTTTTTTTAAGGGTAAGGAGGCTGCCTTCTTAATTGTTTTATAATGGCTTCCCAAAGGGACATCTGGGCTCGACAGCAAAACAGCTAATAAAACACTGGCCTATTCTTTTTAATTATCACTTGAAAGGAGCTAGGAAGCATTTTTTGTGGGCAATGATATCTGAGCATATAGGATTTTAGAGTTGGGTGGGACTTTGGCTACTGTCTACTTTACAAATGAGGAAGCCTGAGACAGGTGCAGAGCTGGCACCCATTATTTAGATCCATGGCTGTGGTGCCACACCCTGAGAGGAGTCAAATGTTTCAGGGCACGGTGACTAGGAGTGACAGCCATAGGCTGTGCAGCACTTATACACGGTAGGGACTGGTTTTACTAGTGTTGGGAGTTTTTTATTTTTTGTGTCAGGTTCTTATTTATTTGAGTCAGAGTCTTACTGTGTCGCCCAGGCTGGAGTGTAGTGGCACGGTCATGGCCATCGCAGCCTCAACCTGCTGGGCTCAGGTGATCCTTCCAGCTCAGTCTTCCAAGTAGCTGGAACTACAGGTGTCCGCCATCACACTAATTTTTGTGATTTATTGTAGTGACAAGGTCTCACCACATTGCCCAGGCTAGTCTCAAACCCCTGGGCTCAGGCAGTCCTCTTGCCTTGGCCTCCCAAAGTGCTAGGATTATAGGCTAAACCACCGTGCCTGGCCAAATAAAATAAATTTGATCAGTGATACACCCAGAGTTGGCATCTATTTTTTTCTGTTTTTGGAGGTACCCTCTAACCTGAGTACTTTCTGGTAGCTAAAACTGATACTCTTTCTAGCTTCATATTTTTATAACGATAGAAGGATATGATTGCCCACTTTAACAGGCCTATTTCTTGGCAGGACCCTGAGATGGTCATTGTTTTCATTCTAGTTACTGTGCTAGGAAACAGAGACACCATGGGGTAGGGTGTGGTCATCTTTAAGTTGAAGGATTTTTTTTTTTTTTTGAGTTGGAGTCTCACTCTGTCACCCAGACTGGAGTACAGTGGCATGCTCCCGGCCACCGCAGCCTCAACCTGCTAGGCTCTGGTGATCCTTCCGCCTCAGCCTTCCAGGTAGCTGGAATTACAGGCATGCGCTACCACGCTCAGCTAATTTCTGATTTATTGTAGAGATGAGGTCTTGCCAAGTTGCCCAGGTGGGTCTTGAACCCGTAGGCTTAGGCAATCCACTCACCTCAGCCTCCCAAAGTGTTGGGATTACAGACTGAGCCACTGAGCCCAGCTTGAAGGATTTTCATTCTGTGTCCTCACCTGTTCCTCACTGAGCATGCAGGAAGTGTTATAGAAGGGTATGTTATCCTCTAGATTAAGGAACATGTGGTAGGGAGCATCATGAGCTGTAAAAGACATTATTTCTCTTCGGTTGGGCAGTGGTGTGTTGGTCATTATTATAAAGCTAGATATTTATTGGCAAGTTTACCATTATACTTTAAATAGTTCTGGTTTATGAACGTAGCCATAGACTGAATGATTCTTTACCAATACCTTATGTTTAGAAAGGAGAAATTTATGATCCTTTCAAGGTTACTAAAGTTTAATGATGAAAAGCTAGATTTCTCATAACACTTTCGAATGTATATTTTGGAAATCTGTGTAATCTATATGGAATGTATATATTTAGATATATATTACCTTTACTTATTTTTCAAAATGCTTTAGAATTAAACTATGGTATGCTTTTTTTTAAAGTGGAGATTGATGACTTGAAAAAGATAACCAATTCACTGACTGTGCTTTGCAGTGAAAAACAGAAGCAAGAAAAGGTAAGAGCAAGCTGTGTAAGGAAATCTGTATTACATTAGAATGGGGTGAGAGGCATAATATTAAACAAATGTAATAGGAGCCTATCCTTAAGAAACTTAAAAGTTAGGCTGGGCACAGTGGCTCAAGCCTGTAATCCCAGCACTTTGGGAGGCCAAGGCTGAGAGGATTGCAGTCCAGGGGTTTGAGACCAGCTTGGGCAACACGGCGAGAGCTCGTCTCTACAATAAGTCAAAAAAGAATTAACCAGGCATGGTGGCACACACCTATAGTTCCAGCTACCTGGGAGGTTAAGGCGGAAGAATTGCTTGAGCCCAGCAGGTTGCGGCTGCAGTGGCTATGAGTGTGCCACTGCATTCCAGCCTGGGCGACAGAATGTGACAACTCAAAAAAAAACACCAAAACTAAAAAGTCAAGCAGTTCACTAATACCATTTAAGTTGGAATAGAACAGGAGGAGTATTGGTGACATTACCATCCTTTTGTTTATGGATATATTTATGTTCCTCTTTTCTATTAGAAATTGCTGAAATCACAGAGATGGGATTCAAATACCAACTCTGCCATTTAGTAGCTATTGATTAATCAGCTTTTCTAAACTTCAGTTTTCTCCCTTCTAATATGGAAACAATAATATTCACTTTGCAGGGTAGAATAAGTAACGTAAGTAGTTGAAGTGAGTAGAGGCTAACTTTTTGGGCTATTTTAAATTTGAGGGTACTTATCCATACTTTCTAAACTTTCTTCAGTGAATTTAAGGCTTCTACCAAGAGCTTATAACCCATGTTGGAGGGCTAAGTATCCAGAGCAGGAACAAGGACCCAAATCTAGTTTTGGACACACACTCTGGGCAACCTTTCGGAGACCTGTGTTGGCCCAAAACACACAGGCTTGGATCTCCTGTGGAGAACTGAAGTTTTCCTGGGACCAGAGGTTTTGGTGTGTCTGTGAGGGTTGCTGTACCAGATAAATGCTCATAGTGGATAAAGTCTCATGAATTAATTCTCTCTCATCTTTAGCAAAGCAAAGCCAAAAAGAAGAAGAAAGGTGTGGTTCCTGGAGGGGGATTAAAAGCCACCATGAAAGATGATCTGGCAGATTATGGTGGTTATGATGGAGGATATGTACAAGACTATGAAGACTTCATGTGACATTTTACCTTCTCCTGATGTCTTCTTTGTGTTGCCCACAATCCCTTCAACATGTAGCACAACTTCCTTTCCTTTCAGTTCTGCCAAATGCTACAATCAGAAGTGCAGTATCTTGTGCTGGTTATTTAACCCCTTGACACTTAGGTGCTAATGTACGAATGAGGGAACTTGGATCTTGCTGCCAAGGGGTTAAAATCGGGAATCTCAGATGCTACTTAAAATCATAGTTCAAAACAAAACAAACCTAATAATGTCATTGTTGCTATCTGATTTCACAGCAGCAGTCACTCGATTGGAAACAAAAGGTTGCAACATGACAAAAAATTGTGTAGTATTTACCAGCACCATTCGTAATACAGCCTTAACCATTACCTCCTTGAACTACTTCATAACTTGTCAAGAAAAGCAGTTTGCAGCAAGGGCATGTGGTGTGCACCTAGTATTAAAAATTGCTTTGTCTTAAAATTGAGCGTGAGGATATTAAAAATACATTGTGAAGAAGACTGCTTATCTCAGAGTGAAGATTCTGCGGCTGAAAAGCACTAGTTTGATTAAAATTAATGACCAAAACCCACCAACTTTGAAGCTGAAGACGGTAGACCTCGCCATTATTGCATTACAAGTTGTGGAATCTCTTGAGTGCAAAGACTGTCTAGTTTTTATCAGACTATTTCTACTGATGAAGTGCTTCGGATGGGGGAGGGAAGCTCTTTACCTGTTTTTATTTGCCTGATTTAAGTGTCTGAGAAACAAATCTTTGTTCTCCTAGGCTGCAGGGTTTTGGCATTTCCTTTCCTTTATAAAACATGCTCAGCCAACTGCACCAGTTAACTACAGTTTGGTAAATTGTTAAGTTAACAATGATGACATCTGCAATGTTTTATAAAGCAACTAATTTAATAAAATCACTATCGTGAGGACTTAAATTTTGTGTTACCTCCCAAGAGGTACTTTTGGAGAGTATAGAACACAGCTCTTGGGATTTAGAGTTCTCTATATTACTGAAGCTTAATAAATGCTTGACATAGTTATAGCTTTAAAACAGAGTGATCTGCCATGTCTTTAACAGAGAGCAACAAAGGTGTAGGGCTGCCTTTCTCTTATTTATTTGGGGAAATTATTTTGTCTCAATATTAAGGCCTAATTAAGTACCTAGAAAAACTATTTATTTGAAGTAATTGAGCCTATTACTCAGATTATGACTGTATGCATAGATTGGGGAATCTTTATTGCATATCTTCTAAACGATTTAACCAAATTTGTGGTTAGTCCTTTTTTTTTCCTCCCTAATTGTTACAACCAGAATTAGGGACAAAACAAAAAAGTTTTTAATTTATATAGGAAATAGGAACTTCAAAGTGCTATAGACTACTAAGTGGAAAACAGGACCATCTAACATGATTTGAGGAATTAACAGAAAGCAGTGACTACACAGCAATAATTACAGTAAATAAAGATTGTTTTAAGGCAGACAAGGGCTAAGATTTCCTTAGCAGTAATAATGACATACACTGAATTTACAATCTATTTTATTACAGAAAGATCAGTTTCTAACAAATGAAAATGTATCACCTGTTCCTTAACTGTGTAAATAATATTAAATTTATTTGAAACTGGAATCTGCAGGCACAGATATTCTTTAATCATTATTGTATCATCTAAAATAGAAACCATCCTGTGGAAGAAGCTTTTGACCTTATTTGTATCCATATATAAATTGTATAGCTGAACACTCACTTTTAAGTAGAAATTTCCTTGTGAAAATTTTCTCATTCTTTACCCACTACCCACAAAGGACTGATAGGTATAGTGCTGGGCTTTTTGAGCTTCAGCAGTGATCCCCAATGCATTATTCTACTTTCATCACAGACATCCGCCAGAACTTTGTCATTGTAAGAAAACAGGCACGTGTGAAATCATCTAACCTGCTAGCATGTCCTTTAGACAGCAACCTGTCTGAGGGTCCTTCAGAAGCATATTTACAATTTCATAAAATTTGTGTTCATATGCCAACTTATAATACAGGTAGATATCCTCACAATATGTGAGTAACTTCTTTAGGTTTTCCACCACCACGTCAGTAGGCTGGTGTTTACATCTAGATAAAGAAACATAATGTACAGGTTAAGATACTTTTTTTTTTTTTTTAAGAGACAAGGGTCCTACTGTGTTGCCCAGGCTGGAGTACAGTGGCTCTTCACAGCCGGGTTCATAGCATACTATAGCGTCAAACTCCTGGGCTCAAGTGATCGTCCTACCTCAGCCTCCCAAAGTAACTGACTGTGGGTGTGAGCCAGTGTGCTCAGCTTAACATTCTGTACATTGAATAAGGACCATCAGCTCTGAAGATTTATTGCTACCTATAGAGGAAAAAGTGCAAAGTACCATGAGCAAACTGATCTCATTCATCTATTTGCATAAATCTGGGGATTCTTCACAACTTGCCATTCTAAGTAGAGGGCTAGCTAAAGGCATGTTGTACTTAGCTATAAAATTGTCTCGCCTCAGTAGAGGCAAGGAGAAATGTTTACAGGCAACTTTTAATACTTACTTTTTTGAAATCTCTTCAAATATACTGGACCTTAACAACCTTTGCTGCTTAAATTCTTCTAAGTAATTGAAGTCTCCTTTAAGAATCACTTGTTGGTATAGAATTTCAGCCCAATCTGGAACAAAATCATAGGCCTCGGCCACAATAGAAGCCTTAAAAAGGATGGAAGTGAAGAACAAACACCATGAGAGACCATTTGATGGAAAATCAAAGGTAGATTGTTCTAGAAAACAACTGTACACTGATAGTGAATATGATAATTGCCAATTATGTTAAAAAGCTCTGTAGCCAACCTGGGGAAAAGTCTGGTGTTAGTTTGGCATTTTCCCTCCCATAAGTCTCCAGATATCTTCTTTGGCATTTTTTGGTTTTTTTGTAGTCTCACTGTATTACCCATGCTGGACTTGGATTCCTGGTCTAAAGTGAACCTTCCACCTTAACCTCCCAAGTAGCTGAGACTACAGGCATGTGCCATTGCACCCAATTTTCTTCAGTGATTTTTTTTTTTTTTTTTTTTTTTTTTTTAGTTGGAGTCTCACTTTGTTACCCAGGCTGGAGTGCAGTGGCACTCACAGCCATCCCAGCATCAACCTGGGCTCTGGTGATCCTTCTGCCTCAGCCTTCCAAGTAGCCAGAACTACAGGCATGTGCTACCACACCCGGCTAATTTTTGATTTATTATAGAGATGAGGTCTCATCAAGTTGTCCAGGTTGGTCTTGAACCTGAGGGCTCAGGCAATCCACACGCCTTGGCCTCCCAAAGTGCTGGGATTACAGACTGACCCACCAAGCCCGGCCTTTTCAGCATTTTTAAGCTTTCTCACAATTGATTAATAACACTCAGAAAGAATAACTATATTATTCCTACTAATTCAGCTATATAAGGAACCGTGAAAGGGCTGATTCCCTGATAACAGTCCCTCTTTGTTAAAGGGCTAGATCAGTCTCTTGGCATCTCAGACTTCCTATACTAATCTGGGTGCACCCTTCTATAAGTGCTGGGGCTGAGAGCTGCTTGCAGGGCCACTAGCAGGGACATTACTCTGAACTGTTGAAGGGGCCAAAGGTGTCTCCCTCTCTGCTGGCCTGACAGCATGGAGAAGTGAGATGGGTACTGTCTCACCGTTCTTTAAACTCTGCCCAAACAATATGCTTGTGAGAAATACACCACATTACTCCTTCATGGTAGTATAAGAGAGCTAAGTCAGGAGAACTGGTCCTGGTTCTGTGTCACTAGCCCTGAAGCCTTTGGCAAGTCACCCAACTTCTGAGATGCCATGAGTAGGACAGCAGGAGGGGGTGCTGGCAGTGTTGGTTAGAGTTTGCTTTCTTGCTCACCTGGTAGAACCGAGGTAGGGCCAGGATACAGTCCGTCAGCCTGTGGTGACTCAAGTTGATGAGCATTGTGTTCTGGCCATTGTTCAGAAAGTGAATCTGTAGAGTTATCAACTTGGTGAGCCGGTGACAGTGCAGGGCCTGTCGCACACAGGAGTCCTAAGAATGAAGGTAGAGGGAGGCACCGACAAAGACTTGCTGTCACCCTCTCCTTTGTGAACCCTCTAACACCTGTACTCACTCCTTCTGATTGGCCCATGACACACTCTCCCCCTTCACTTAGAGGAGCTCAGGGAAAAGAGAAGATTCCTATTGCAGAAAGCAAGTCCTATGGCCAGTCGGGAGTAAGCTTCTGTAGTTACCTTGGCATAACTCTCTGCAGCATCCAGCATCAGAGTCAGGGCCTTCAGCAGCAGTTGCTTCAGCTGGTGTCCATTCTTGAGGCTGTCCTCTGCAGAGGAATAAATGAAACTTGCCGAGTCTGACTGACTCCACTAGTAGTGTTGGTGACTGGAGCAGAAACATCACAGGCATGTTCACAGAGAGGTAACTATGCCTCACTCAGGTAAAGGCTATTGGGCAAGAAATACACATACTCTTACTGTAGCTTCATTCTCTGAAACATCAAGGATGGCTTAGAGCAATATGCATACTGGTTTCTGACAGATAACACAGATTGTGACATAGGCTCCAGATTCTGACAGTACAATCCTAAGGTGCAAAGCCTTCTAAGTGCCTCTCTCATCTCCTAGCTGCCCAAGTGGGCCCTGCTGAGTGACATATCCAACGCATACGAGCCAATCTCTTGGGCTCTTGCCCTTCTTAGCCCGAAACTTTCTCTGACTAGGAGCACCGCTCAGGGGTGCTGCCGAGACCTCACTCACCCCAGGGCTGAGAGTCAATTAATTTCAGCTGGGTACGGGCAGCTGCCTCGTGGTTCTCGCCAATCTCCCGGCACATGCTGAAGCACAGGGCAATCATATTGTGCTTCTCACTGTCTCCAGGACGGCAGCGTTTGATGTAGTCCAGCAGAGCTGTCTTCAGGGTACCACTCTGTCCGGGATAAAAGGGAATGTCAGGTTCTCAACCAGGGACATCAAGGCAGGCAGGATTGGCTGAGTCACCTGGTTCTGAGTTTCTTTAAAACTCCCAAGAAAAATGAAGAGATGAAAAAGAATGAAAATTTTTTGCTATCCTGAGTATAGGAAACAGGTATGTCCTATTTGCTATTGAGGGTGTCAAAGGTAAAACCGTTCTGAAGGGAGAAGCCTTAAAAATGTGCCCTCGTAATCTCAATTCCATTTCTAGGAATCTATTCCCAAAGAGATAAGCAGAAAAAAGTGCTGTCATGAACATATCAGGGATGTTTGATAGCAAATAATCCAGATATTAATCTTAGCCCAAAATAAAGGCTAAGATAATACCACGTAGCCATCAAAAGTGATGTAGGAGTACCGCTGATTTGAGAAGCAGGCTACTTCATATCTATCTTCACAGCAGGATAAAAGTTTTGTTGAAATATGAATATGTATGAGAGGAGACTCCTAGAAAAATGGAATTATTTTTTGGAGGGCAGGCCTCTTGTAGTACAGGCTTCCCCCACTAGGTAAGTGGAAACCATTGGCGTTATTGTACCAGCTAGTATTGTAAGAGGCTGCATTCGGCTTCAGTGAATTTTTTTTTGTGGAGATTCTTTCAATGATTTTGCCCATTTCATGATGGGTGATTTATGAGCATACCTGCCCACGTTGTACTGAGTATTCAGTTTTTGACCAAAAACAGCATGACCCCTGTGCCCTGCCCTCCCTATTCACTTAATCTTGCCCCACAAAACTTTTTTGATTCCCTGTATGAAAAAAGCCCTCAAAACAAAAATGTTTGGTGGATGTGGAAGAGGTGAAACAAAAAAATGGCAGAAGCACTAAAAGGTATCAAAATTGATGAGTTTAAAAACTTTTGAGCAGTTTGGAAAACACCTCAATAGGTGTATTGCATCAAACAAAGAATACTTTGAAGGTGACAAGATTATTTTATTTTTTG